AAGAGGGATAGGAGGGCCCTGCTCCTTGGAGCTTACAATCTAGGAGGGAGGGGCTAGTGGTACAAAAGGTAGTAACTGTGGGGGATGGACTGGTAGGAGGAGTAGAAGATTCCATTATTAGCTGAGGGCAGGATAGGCTTCACTGAAGAGAGAGGTTTTCGGAGATCGCCTAAAAGTGAGCAGAGTAGGCGATAGTTTGATAAATTGGGGTAGAGAGTTTCAGAGGATGGGGGAAGCTCTGGAGAAGTCCCGGAGACGAACATGAGAGGAGGAGACAAGGGAGCTAGAGAGTAGGAGGTCTTGCAAGGAGCAGAGAGTACGGTTTGGGTGATATTTAGAGACAGGATTGGTGATGTAATTTGGGGCAGAGTTATAAATGGCTTTATACGTTATTGTTAATCTTTTGAATTTTATCTGTTGGGCAATGGGAAGCCAGTGGAGGGATTGGCAGAGAGGGGTGGCAGATACAGAGCGGTTAGTAAGGTGGATGATTCTGGCAGCAGCATTCATGATAGACTAAAAAAAGGGATAGCCTGCGATTAGGTAGCCCAATGAGGAGGGAGTTACAATAGTTAAGGCGAGATATAACAAGGGAGTGAATAAGTTGCTTAGTAGTTTCCGAGGTTAGGAACGGGCTTATCTTGGAGATGTTGCGGAGGTGAAGTCTACAAGATTTGGACAGCAATTGGATTTGGGGCTGAAAGGACAGATGGGAGTCTAGGATTACACCTAGTACCCTGGCATTAGGGGAGGGACTGATGATTGTGTTATTGATCTTGATGGAGAAGTCAGGGGAGGGGGCACAGGGTGGGGGAATACTAAGAGCTCAGTTTTGGAAAGATTGAGTTTGAGGAAGTGGAGTGACATCCATGCCGATATGTCACTTAGTAGGTTAGTAATGCGAGAGGAGACTGAAGGGGTGAGGTGAGGGGTAGAAAGATAGATTTGTGTGTCATCAGCATAGAGATGGTACTTAAAGCCATGGGAGTTTATCAAGTGACCAAGGGAGGAGGTGTAGATGGAGAAGAGAAGGGGTCCAAGGACAGAACCTTGAGGGACCCCTACAGACAGATGGAGCGAAGAGGAGGAGGCAGCATTATAGGTAACACAGAAGGAACGCTGCGATAGGTAGGAGAAGAACCAGGAGAGAGCAGAGTCACTGAGGCCAAGATAGTGGAGTTTTTTGAGGAGGAGGGGATGGTCAACTGTATCAAAAGCCACAGAGAGGTCAAATAATAAAGAGTATGGAGTAGTGGCCATTGGTTTTAGCTGTTAGTAGATCATTAGTGAGTTTTAGTAGGGCAGTTTCAGTGGAGTGTAGTGAGCGAAAGCCAGACTGTAAAGGGTCAAGAAGGTTGTTATCAGTGAGGTAGGAGCTCAGGCGATTGTAGACAAAGCGTTCTAGGAGTTTAGAGGTAAATGGCAGCAAGGAGATGGGTCTTAAGTTGTTCAGGTTGGTGGGGCCCAGGGAGGGCTTTTTAAGTATGGGAGTGATGTGCGCATGCTTTAGAGGGGAGGGGAAGGCACAAGTAGAGAGGGAAAGATTGAAGATGCGAGTGAGAGAGCATAGGATGGAAGAAGAGGGTGACCGTAGTAAAATGCGCAGGATGTTCAGTAGATCCATAGGAAATCATGTTAAATGGACTGTCGTGCATTTCTGCAAACTGGAAAAAACTGAAATCTGCATAAGATATTCCTGATATGTGTCTGCTGTACCATGTACATGTATGAAAAAGTATCCTGTTTCCTTTATATTGCTTCTTTTGTGTGAAATCCCTGGTGTTCCTGCCAGTCTCTCTGCTTTGCTATTAAAAACTGACCTCACTAAGCAGGAGAACACACCATGGTCAGTTTCCTAGCTCTGCTGGGAACTCAGTCTACTCTCCAATGATTATAGTGATATTAAAGGCAATTTTTGTTTTTTAAATAACAAACATGTCACCCGTACCTGCTCTGTGCAGTAGTTTTGCACAGAGCAGCCCTGATCCTCCTCTTGCCCCTGCCGAGTGCCCCCAGAGCAAGCAGCTTGCTATGGGGCACCCAAGCAGGCTTGCTTCCGAACTGCCACTCCCACACAGAGTCGCAGCTCAACCCCACCCCCTCGCTCTCCTCATTGGCTCACTGGCTGTGATTTACAGCAACAAGAGCCAGTGGCTTCTGCTGCTGTCTTAGCCAATGAGGTGGGAGAGTCCCTGAAGAGCTGGGGCTTTCATACATATCGCGCTGGATCATGCTGGGACTTGAGTATGTATGGGTGGGGGGGGAGCTACACACAGAAGGTTTTTTTACCTTTATGCATAGAATGCATGAAAGTAAAAAACATTGAGCACTTTAAACTTTTCCTGACACCCTCCCCCACCCCACAGCCATTTACTGGGAATATCAGTGTGCTGCTTTTTCTCCTCCCGTAGCTTTTATGCAGCTGAAAACAGAGGGTATGTAATCACTTATAACTTTTTTTTCATATATATATATATATATATATATATCTATACACAAATGTTTTGCCTTACATTTTTATCTGAATGGGTTGTTTTACAAGGTGAGGGTTCATACATACTTTAAACCCCAGTTCACATATATGTGGTGCGGAAAACACAGCGAATCCTGAGTGTTTCCTGCACCGCATTGAAATCGCACTCCGTTCATGCGATCTGCCACGTTAGTGTTAAATGAATAGCACCCCAAAACAAGTTTCCGATGCGGGGGAAAAAAAAAAAGATGCCTGCACCTTTTTTGTGCAGGTGCAGTGTGAATTGAGCCCATACAAAATAAATGGGCTCAAATCGCATTGCAAAGAATTGCATGTGATTTGAACAGGAATGCTGTGCGATTCCTGTCTGAATCATATGCGATTTCCTGCACTGATATATTGTGAACCCAGGCTAACAGAATGGAACACTGACACTGATGTTGGAGAGAATCATTAGTCATGCAAGTCTGTCATAATGTGTTAATATGCTGTGCATGTTATGGCTACTCCTGTGGTGGATTAAGTCAGAATGCACTACCACCATTTGGAGAGCTCTGGACTGGCCAAGTAGAGCCTGGTACTTGACCTAGTTTTTTTTTTCTGGTGGCAGACTCTAAATGCCCACTACCATCTCTACCGAATACTCTTTCTCAAGGTCTGATTCTCCATCTTGCTGCTTAGCCGGTAAATTTATCTGCATAATTAATGAAGCTCAGGTACTAAGAGATTGGTGTCTCTGAAGATAGCCATTGCTATGATGCTGTGGACCTGCAAGCCAAATGTTAGTCTCTCAACCTTAGGATCTTTTCAGTCACTTGGATTACAAGCTTTTTACAGTTGTCTGTGAATGGACACCGGGCACAGAGAACCCTTAAGGCTCAGATATCACCCATGGTGATCTTTTTTCAATGCTCATTGGCCTTGCACTCCTTAGCTGGTACTTTTGTTCAAGGGGTTACACACATCTTCCATATCAAGACTCCTCCAACCCAATTCCATGTAGTGATAGAATTGTCCTGTCTACCAAGCCCTCCATTTGATTATCTAAAGGAAATCTCCCTTGATATTCTGTCTCAGACGGTGGATTTTCTGGTTGCCATCACTTTGGCCAGGAAAATCTGCAAACTTGAAGCCTTGCCTTACACATCACCTTCATAAGGACGCGTTGGGGTTTACTTACTAAAACTGCATGGTGCAAAATCTGGTGTAGCTTTGCATATTTGCATAGAAACCAATCGGCTTCCAGGTTTTATTGTCAGAGTTTAATTGAACAAATTGAAATTAGAAGCTGATTGGCTACCATGCACAGCTACACCAGATTCTGAGTGCACCAGTTTTGGTAAATCTCACCCATTTTGTTTAGGACCTACTGTAAGCTCCTAAAGTGGTTGTAGAGTGGTTGCATTCAATGCATGAAGTTAAAAAAAACCTTCTCTATGCAGCAATCCCCCCCCAGCCTCCCCTAATACTCGCCTAAGCCCCCTCTAGATCCAGCAATGAGTCTTGGCTATCCCGGGACTCCCTCTCCTCATTGGCTGAAGATCACAGCCAGTTGGCCAATGAGAAGAGAGGGGGGTGGGGCCAAGCCACGGCCCTGTGTGTGATTGGACACACAAAGCAGTGGCTGAGGAGTGCGCATGCTTGGGTGCCCTCATAGCAGGCTGCAGGAGGGAGGGTCCAGGAGCACTGATTGGGGACTTGAGAAGAGGAGGATCCAGGCTGCTCTGTGCAAAACCACTGGATGCAGCAGGTAAGAATAGACATGCTTGGTATTTGAAGAAAAAAAAAAAAAATTAATCCTTTAGAATCGCTTTAATTCTGGCTTTTTTTTTTCACCTTAACAAGGACATTCTGCTTCCTCTGTGTTTCTATCTTCCTCTCATCCAAGGAGATAGCCCTACGTTCTCTAGACTTGAGAAGAACTGTCCGGGTTTATTTGAAAGCTACAGCTTCCTCACAGGGCATCCTGGCTTCTATTGTGACAATCTCTTACTGCATTTGCTTAATTCAGGCTTATTCTTTAAATAGATGGGACCCTTTGTTCCCTGTCACTGTTCATTTCAAAAGGGCGGTAAGTGCTTCCTGAGCTTTTTGGCATCAGTTTCTCAGGTACGCATGCTAGCTATCTGTTCTTCTGTCCAAATGTCTATAGTTTATTTATGTAAACGTGCCAACAACAGTGGATGCTAGTTTTGAATGTGAGGATTTGAAGGCGGCAGTCTGAAACAGTTACACTCTTCTTCTTGAGGGTGTCTTTGGTACATGGCTCTGTTTGCCCAGCCTTCTTTTTGGAAGTCCCATCAGAACTGCTTTATGTGATCAAACGATCGATACCACACACTGATCAAAATTCAGCCAGTCACTGCTGAACCAGACAAATTTCTATCAATGTATGTCCAGCCTTAGACAGCATTAAACAATTCAAATGTGCTTGTGCTGACAGTGTGTTTTTAAATTTTTTTCATTACCCATAATGTATTCGCTCATCTTGAAAATATACTTGATTGTGTGTTTTGTCTTCTAGGTAATGACAGAAGAGGCTGTCCCTATCTCATATGTCCCTGCACAGGAGATGCGGTGCATTTTACACTGGTTCTCACAATGGACAGAAACACAGCGCAAACACTTTCTCCAGGATTTGCTGTGCAAAGCTGTGCCTGGCAAATTGTGTCTTCTGCTTGATGGACTGGACTCCCTGAACCTCTCTGCTCCACCCCCCAGCCTATTTCAGTGCCAGATAAGACTCTGGGATCAGTGGTTCCAGAGCTGGGATGAGGATGAAAGGAATGAATTTATACGCCGTTTGCAACAGCTAGACCCAGATTTTGTGGCACTGTTCTATAAGGAGATGAGTGGAACAGCAAGCAAGGACTGATTCCCACTGTGGAGAGAAATGCACAGGAATGGGTGCTAAAAGGTTAACGTGGTGTTGAACCCAAAATCACAAATGTAAAATATTTCCGCTTACCAATTCTTAGATGTGATGGCCGTATTAGTTTTCTTTTTCTTTTTTTTAGGATTTTTTTTTTCTCTGTTTTCACCTGGCAATCTGGCCAGTAAAACACTTCCATCTTAGGGTGTCTAAACTGCAGGTAACACTTCTTAACCACTTGCCTACCAGGCACTTATACCCCCTTATTTACCAGGCCAATTTTCAGCTTTCAGCGCTGCCGCACTTTGATTGACAATTGCGCGGTCATGCAACATTGTACCCATATGAAATTTTGATAATTTTTTTCTCACAAATAGAGCTTTCTTTTGGTGGTATTTAATCGCCACTGGGCGCTTTACTTTTTGCGCTATAAATTAAAAAAGTGCAAAAAATAAAAAAAAAAAAAGTTTCTTTGTTTCTATTATAAAATTTTTCAAACAGGTATTTTTTCTCCTTCACTGATGTGCGTTGATGAGGCAGCACTGATGGGCACTGATGCGGCAGCACTGATGGGCACTGATAGGCGGCACTAAAGGGCACTGATAGGCAGTACTAATGAGGTGGCACGGATAGGGCACTGATAGCAGCACTAATGAGGCACTGTCAGTATAATGAGGTGGCACTAATAGGCAGCACTGATAGCAGCACTGATAGGTGACACTGATGATGGGTACTGATAGACAGCACTGACTGGCATCACTGCTGGGCACTGACTGGCACAACCCCTGGGCACTGACTGGCTGGCACTGACTGGCTGCACTGGTGGGCTGCACTGGTGGGGTGGCACTGGTGGGTGGCACAGTGGGTGGGCACAGGTGGGTGGCACTGCTGGGCACAGGTGTGTGGCACTGCTGGGCACAGGTGTGTGACACTGCAGCTGGGCACAGGTGGGTGCACTGCTGGGCACAGGTGGGTGATCTGCTGGGCACAGGTGGGCGGAGCTAGTGGGCGCACTGCTGGGCACAAGTGGGCGGAACTTGCGGGTGGCATTGCTGGGCACCGATCATCAGGGCACTGATCATCAGTGCCCTGATGATCGGTGCCGATCCCCGCTCTGACAACTGCCGGTTCTCGGCAGTACTTTCCTCACGATCTGACAGCGTGAGGAAAGTGCAGCCGAGAACCGGCACTTGCATTTCCCTGTGATCAGCGTGTCATTGGACACCGCTGATCACGTGGTAAAAGGCCGGTATGATTGGTCTTTTACCACATCACGTGATCAGCTGTGTCCGTAGGAGATGGGGCGCAGGAGAGCGCGTTCTGGGAGGACGTCATATGACGTCCACTCAGAACTGGCCGGCCACAGTTTAGCCGTCATTCGGCTATCTGCGGTCGGCAACTAGTTAATCAGTTACCATAATAGTTTTTTTAGATTTCCTTTTGGAATTAAAGCTTTACATAAATACATTTATTTAAGGTTATACATAATTAAAAGCTGATCAATTTAAGCACCCCTGTCAGTATTAAATGGTTTGTCTCTAACTGCTATTTTTGCTGACAGTTTGGTCTGTTAACCGCTTCCCGACCACCCTATAGCAGATATACTGCTACAGGGCAGCACGGGGGGCGCAAAATCATGTGTGTGTGTGTGTATATATATATATATATATATATATATATATATATATATATATATATATATGTGATTTTACATTTTTGGGTAGGGGGTGCACACCCTACCCATGCTGCCATTCACAGAGGTGGCTGTTAATCACCAGTTCCCAACCTGTGATTACTAGTAGGCACCCGGTGAGTGCCAAGCATCTCTGACTGGGTGAAGTACTGATTGTAAACAAAACAGTTCTCCTTCCTGTCAGCTCCTGACACAGCATAGCCATGCAAAGCAATGTGATTACAAGCACAGGGCCCAATAATAAAACATACCCAGCACACAGTTAACCCTTTGATCGCCCCTCATGTTAACCCCTTCCTGCCCAGTGCCATTAGTACAGTGTCAGTGCTTTTTTTTTTCTTAGCATTAATCACTGTATTGGTGTCACTGGGGATGTCATTGACACCAAGTCAGTTCCCCCCAGTGTCAGAATGCCCGCTGCAGTCCTGCTACAAGTCACTGATCACCGCCATTACTAGCAAAAATGAAAAAAAAAAAATTCCAGTATCTATACCGCCATTTGTAAATGCTATAACTTTCACGTAAACCAATTCATTTTACACGTATTGAGATTTTGTTTTAGCAAAGACGTGTAGCAGAATGCATTTTGGCCTAAATTTATGAAGAAATTAGAATTTTTTTTTTTTTTTTACTGGACGTGTTTAATAGCAAAAATACCACCAAAAGAAAGTTCAATTCGTGGGAAAAAATGGACGTCAATGCAGCATTGCATGACCGTGCAATTTATAGTTAAAATAACGCAACGCCATAACACAAAAATGGCCTGGTCAGGAAGGGGGATAAAACCTCAGGAGGGCAAGTGGTTAAAGTAAGTTGAAAAAATAACAGACTTACTAGCTGTATCAAAAGGTAAAAATTAATGGAAAAAAACCTAAAAATAGAAAACTAATGCAGCTAAGAATTTGTAAGTTACAATTTTAATTAAAAAAAAGTTTAATACCGCTTTAACATCATATTCTAGCAGTTGAAGCTTTTCTTAGTCATTGAGAAAGAACAGTGCCATTCTGGTCCAAATTAAAATAGCAATACCTACTTTACTGCTTCACAGTGCCATCTATTCACCTTTTACATTACTTTGACTGTATGTAGCAAATTAAAATGTACGCTAAGGCAAACACTTTGTTTAAGATTTGGATAGAATGGGGGGGAAGTTAGAACCTCTTTTGGGTTTTTATTGCTGGATCAGCCTATCAGTCCCTGGCTTTGGCTGTTTGTCACATTCTTACAGACATGGTTTCAGACACCCAAAATCTACATCATCATTCTGCTCAGGACTGAATGTATTAACAACCTCAGAATGCTTGGCTATGGGTCCTTGTTTTTAGATTTCTTCTCATTTCCTGTTGCATATCCAGGAAAGGGAGTAAATGGACAGACAGCAAAAGATCAGTTGATAGGGGTTTTAACTTCCTTGGCGGTATTCCCGAGTGTAGCTCGGGGTGAAATTTCAGTACCAAGAGCGGTAACCCCGAGCTACACTCAGGCTTACCATGCGGCGTTGCTCAGGGAGTCCCTGCAGCACTTACCTTGTCCTTCGCTCCCGCGATGTGTCCCCTGCAGCGTCCCCGGCCATCTCCTCCGGCCGATGCCGGCATCAGGCTTCCGTGTTCCGGTCCCTGTGACGTTGGGACGTACGGGCGCCGGAACCAGCGGCAAATTTGACATTTTTTAAAAAATGTCATTTTTTTAAAAATGATTATTATATAGTAAAACATTGCTGTTTCAATGCATTTCACATACATTTTGTCCCTAGTGCTTTGTCCTGTGCCCTGTCTGCATTTTGACTGTTCTTTCTGCCTGGAAACTTGGAAAAGTCCATGGCGTCCAAAAAGCGTCCCTTTATGTCAAAAGCGGTTGTAGACCAGCTAGAGAACAGCGATAGTAAATCAGAACCACTTGCAGAATTGAGTGATAATGATTTGTGGGGAAATTCGTCATCAGACACTGAAAACGATTTTGCGACTTTGCTCAGCGATGTGCGAACTTGGAGCTATATTTCAAATTTCAGTGTTTTTGGTTTGATTATATTATTGAATTAAATTTTATTATTATTATATTATTATTTTTTATGATTATTTATTAAATTATAATTTATGATTTCATGTTTCAAGTTTTATCATATCCGGAATGTTTACTAGACTCTTCGGACAGATTTCAGTGAGTTATTCCAAAAAATTACAGCCTACAATAAAAAACTACATATTTCCATGCAAAAAAATGGTACCGCTTTCAGCACAAAAAATCGGAAATAATCATACCGCCAAGGAGGTTAATACGTAATTTCTGTATTAAAAATTATAAAAAAAAGTGTTCGCTACGCAAACACTCCAAAAGCATTAGAGGAGGCTATCATTTTCATCTTGATAGTCTGTGCAATGAAACAAAATTGTGACAAATATATTTTGGTATCAATTCTGGTGTCCTTGTTTTAATGTGGAAGCAATGCCTTTGATGTATGCTGTGAGTCTTGTGCACAAGTCAGCTGTTTTCCTTCTTCAGACGGCAGCTGGCACATGTTCACCTTGTAGATTTTTGTCTTTAACATTATAAATATCCCTTACTTGTATACTTCGAGTCCGTACCCTGTGTCTGCAGCAAAGGAGGGAGATGATCAGCAATACACAGAAAAGGGCACAGGCACAGCTTCCAATAATAGCATTTTGATTGAGTGGGTAATGATGGGAGTCAGAGGCCAGCAACCTGCAAAAATGGAAAAACATTACGAATAATTAAGGTTTTGCAGAAGTATTATTTGGAAACCATTACATTTTAAAAGGTGTAAATCTGGCCATATGTGGATCACAATTGGACCATGTTAGCAGAGATTGGCCAAATTTTGAACCATGTATGGCCACTGTGGTTGAACAGCAGTCAATCTGTTGATTGACTTCTTCTCTTCAACTGTCCTGTTTTAAAAAAGCTGCTTGATCCGCGCTGCAGTCTGTAGACTGCAGTGCTGATCCGTGTATTCTGATAGCGGAGAAGGCTCCCCACTGTCAGAATATGATGACACAGCGGGGAGGATACCCCCATCCACCTTGAAGGTGTGGATGGAGGAATTAAGACTTTTTTTTTTTTTTTTTTTCAATCTGCTGGTTGAATGTAAAAAACTGACCTATGTATGGCCAACTTAAATTTTCTTACCTGATGAGAACATATGAAAACTGAGGAGATTCATATGTGATCGGATCTGTGAGGTTCATCAGAAGTTGATAAAGTGGGGTTTCTGGAGCAGGTGGAGGGCAATTATTGGGCTCCTCAGGTTTAATAGTAAATGCTAAGTCGTTGTTTGGCACTGAGGACATGTGCAATAAGCACCTATGCAAAAAAAAAAAGTACGGTAAGTGATAATTAAAATTATATATACACACAATCTGATATTTATTAAAAACTTTGCTAAGAATGTATGTGTATTGCTTGTATACTACTGGTGCATAGTTGATGGTACCTTACTCAAAGGTAACCATTTGTCTACTCCTACTGTGAGACATTTTTTAACTATGAACTGGTTTAAATATGATTGAGGCTCTTGAACCTGATTTTTTTTAATACCGTATAAAAGCAAAGTTCTGGTTCATAGGTTCAAGTTTTATAGGCCAATTATTAGGGCTTTTTTCTTGGGAGAGTGCATGTGAACAGCAGAGGGCCAATCATCACTATACAGACAGAGGGTCAGGGGTCCTGCAGCCTCATTGGTCTATCAGGGGAGAATGAAAACTCCTCCTACAAGCTTTAACCATTGCTGTTCTGCACACTGATAGAAGTCACAAGACTGCTATACACTGATGATGAGAAAAGTTATTTAGCAGCTTAAATTTTCTAAAATAATTGCATCTCCATGTTCTGAGTACTGTGGGAGACTGGATATTGTGAATGCAGAGTCCTGGGTTTAGTAACACTGCTCTGCTAAAGACTGCTTATGAGAAAAGGTATTTAGCAGTTTTTATTTACTAAAATAATTGCATTTCCATGTTCTGTGTACTGTGGGAGACCAGATATAGTGAATGCAGGGTCATGGGTTTATTTACACTTTAATATTAGGGTGGAAATTTACCACAACTGGAGCAGCTGTGGCAACCAATTTAGCTTCTTTCTTCAGTTTGTTCAGTTAAAGTTTAACTAAAGGCAAAACTTTAATTTTTTTAGTTTTGGGTAGAGATAGGTGTAATGATCTGTCAGGCTTACATATGGACTCTGATACCGGGAAAGTGGAGAACCCAACTAATCACCCACTTTCTCTGCTACTTTCCCACATTGACCCCCCTTCAAAGACAGCTTACCCCATTTAGGCTAGGTTCACACTTGCAGGCTGTTCCCGCATCTGAATTGCGTTGATCTTGCAAGACGCATGGGGCTGCCATTTATTCTGAGTTACACCCCCACACATCTTAGCCTGCAGCGCGTTTGCAGGTGTGGGAACCACATGGTTAAAAAGACCATGCGGTTTCCCTACGGCTGCGTTTTTAAAAGGTGCATGCACCTTTGTCCTGTGGGAAAAGTGGCACAGCAGACCTTTCAAATGCATGGGCTGCTGGGCCAAGCAAACATGGGCCACACGGCCTGCAATAGTGTGAACCGAGCCTCAAAGAGCTCTGCCAAGATGAGGGAGTCGTGAGAAAGGCTCTTTCCATGTCCTAGCAGAAAC